AAAAAAAAAAAAAAAAAAGAAAAAAAAGAAACCTAAACTTCTACTTCCAGTTGTCAGTAATGAATGGCATACACCTTCTCCTGCCAGTGCAACGTCAGAAAATGCCAGCCAAAACAGAAAGGTTGAATAAGATCCAGATTCTCGTAATGTAAGGCAAAAATGTCCAGGTTTCAAGTGAAAATCATTCATCATACCAAGAGCTAGAAAGGTCTCAAACTGAATGAACAATAATAATACATGCCTGCACTAAGATGATGACGTTAAAATTATCTAACAAATATTTTACAGCAGACACAGTAAACATGCTTCAATGAGAAATTGTGAACACACTTGAAACAAGTGAAACAAAGTGTCATCAAAGAGAAGGACAACATAAAAGAACTAAATGAAAATTGGAAATTGTAGAACTAAGAACTGCAGTAGCCAAAATATAAAGCTCCGTGGATGGGCTTAATAGAAAAATAAGAGGACAGGGAAGGAAATCTGTGAGCTGAAAGACAGAACAATAGAAATCCAGACCACAGAGAAGAAAGAGAGTGGGGCTTCGGCCGGGCATGGTGGCTCACACCTGTAATCCCAGTACTTTGGGAGGCCGAGGGGAGCAGATCACGAGGTCAGGAGATCGAGACCAACATAGTGAAACCCCATCTCCACTAAAAAAAAAAAAAAAAATTAGCCTGTCTTGGTGGCACGTGCCTGTAGTCCCAGCTACATGGGAGGCTGAGGCAGGAGAATCCCTTGAACCTAGGAGGCAGAGGTTGCAGTGAGCCAAGATCGTACCACTGCACTCCAGCCTGGGCAACAGAGCGAGACTCTGTCTCAAAAAAATAATGGGGTTTAAAATAGAGCTGCAGGGACCTGTGAGACGATAACAAATGATACAACGTTCATTTCATTGAAATCCCCTGAAACAGAGAAAGATAACAGCCTGCAAAGGTACTTGAAGAAATAATGGCTAAAAAATTTCCTGAATTTGGCAAGAGACATAAACGTACAGAATCAAGAAACTGAGCAAACCCCAAATAGCATAAACCCAGAGAAATCCATGCCAGAGACATATGATTAGACTTCTAAAAATGAAAGAGAGAATTCTTGAAAGCAGTCAGAGAAAGATGACATTTCACCAATAAGGGAAAAAGAATTTGAATGACAGTGGTCTCATCAGAAACCAGAAAGACCAGAAGAAAGGGGGACAATTATTTTTCTTCAAGTGCTCAAAGAAAACCATCAAGCCGGAATCCTGTACCCAGTGAATGTATCTTTCAGGAATGAAGAAGTAATCAGAATATTCTCAGATGAAGGAAAACTAAGAATTTGTCACCAAATAGAATAGGCTTTCCTTCTCCTTTAGAGTTTTCTGAATTATGTTTGATAGTATAAGCAAAACTCATAGCAGTATCTCCTGTGGTTCAAAATGTACATAAAGGACATATTTAAGATAATTATAGAAAAGCAAAGTAAAGGGACATAAAAGGAGATGAGGTCTGTGCTTCACTAGAACTTTCAAAAAGACAACACAGGCTGGCACGGTGGCTCACACCTATAATCCCACTGCTTTGGGAGGCCAAGGCAAGAGGATTGCTTGAGGACAGGAGTTCAGGGCCAGCCTGGGCAACATAGCAAGATCTCATCTCTAAAAAAAATTCAGCCGACATGGCAGTGCATGCCTGTAGTCTCAGCTACTCAGGAGGCTGAGGGGGGAGGATCACTTGAGCCCAGAAATTCGAGGCTGCAGTGAGCTGTGATCACACCATTGCACTCCAGCCTGGGCAACATAGCAAGATCTCATCTCTAAAAAATTTTTTTTTAATTAGCCAATATGGCAGTGCATGCCTGTAGTCCCAGCTACTCAGGAGGCTGAGCGGGGAGGATCACTCAAGCCCAGAAGTTCGAGGCTGCAGTGAGCTATGACTACACCATTGCACTCCAGCCTGGGCAACAGAGCAAGAGCCTGTCTC